CTTCGGACCGCATTCAACCTCCGGCAGCAGGTGCATGACGTGGTGACGCTGGTTCAGCTCCAAACTCTGCGACATCAAATAGTAGCCAGCCGAGGAGCGCTCGTCCCAATCTTCCTGCAGCGTGGGGTCACTCGGTCTAGGCTCCTCCCCAATCATTAGTTTCAGCAAACCGATCTGACGGAAATATAATTGCATTTTCCATGCCCAATCATCATAGCCCTCACCATTGAACTTCTCGACGGTGAAATTCTTCAGCACCTCCTTGACAAGCGAGCCCTGGTTTGTTCGCGCTCCCCTTGGCGCTGAAAGACCAGAATCTTGGCTGCCGCTACGATCTTGGGCTGAAGATTCACCAGCTCCCGCCGAGGTGTTGCCCGCCATAGCTACCTATAACGAGGATCACTATAACGCAGCTCTGATACCAGCTTGTTGGTGTAAGGGCCTAATAAACTCAAGCTATTAGGACTTAATCAACTTAAAACTCTCCTCGGGGTCACCTCCAAGGGTCCCTGGGTGCCTGGTACAAGACCAGCCCCTATCCCCGGGTCCGAGTTTGTAGAGAGGGATCAAGAAGGACTTAGTCAAAACAGCAAGAGTACCTTGAACGTCGCGCAGCGTGCCGTGCAGACCGTCGATCGGATTAAGCTGAGAATTCGCTATAACGAAGCTCGCTCCAAGAGCTTTAAAATGAGCCAAGTTGCCTCGCGAAAAGTTCTGCCATTACTAAGTTATGGCTCGGACAGCGTTTGCCTAGCGTTGGAGTGCTAGCATACTAGCGTTGACTCGGGTAGCATTCCGCCGTCGAATAGCGCAGAAACGAAATTCCAGCGAGGAAGGAATTCACATGAATCAATTTGACTATATTCAGGTACAAACAGAGAAGGATTAAATAGTTCTAGCTAGCAAGGACCTTGGGAATCAACCTGGGAACAACCAGGGATGATCCCAAATAATTCCAAGCCACAGAAACCAACCAGGCTGGACAAAATAGCAGGTGGTAGGTTGGTAAACAACCTCTGGTTCTGTTTTTCCAACCTGGGAAAACAACAACCAGGTTCAGGTTCTAAAAACAGAACCTGTTTTGTCTTTGCCCAACCAGCCAAATGCTGGTTCCGCTGGTTTCCCCTGGCCTTGTAGTATGCAGATACAGACAAACAACATCCAACCTTCACCTAAATTGTACCCCTATAGTGCCTTCCCTGCTACACTATAGTTAACCAAACAAACAGTACAATTTCGAGTTGGATAGAACTGAATCTGCGCAATCAACTCAACTGAACTGCGCTGCCCCAAAGCAGATGTGGCATGCTTCACCGGTGACGGCTCGAGTTCGGTGAGCAAGTCGGGGCGAGGTGTCATGCCATAGGTAGCGCGCTGTCAATCACCCAATAATCCAGGGTGTAGGGTCACATTCCCTACTGCTGCTGGCTCCTCAAAGCCTTCCTCCTTTTCTGGACCAGCCGGTACTTGCGTCGACACAAAGTAGAAAAGGCCCGGGTAGCGATCGTCGCCCGGGTCGTTGTTTTTATCTCCACTCTTCATGACCGTCACTGCCTCAACGGCCTCATCCTCTGCCTCATCCTGCTCCTCTACCCTCTTCGCCTTGAGCAGGGGTCTAATCTTCAGGGAGCTTGTAGCAATCGCGCCACATATGTCCGTTCTTGTGACTATAATGACACACGCCATCAAATCGTCCGCGGCCGCGACCGTAGCTCTATCCGTCGTTGGCGTAACCGCCGCTTCCGCGACCTCCACTGAAGTTGCTGCCACCAAATCTTCCTCCCCCTCGTCCTCTGCCTCTTCCTCGGCCGTACCCTCGGCCGACGCTCGCTGCCCCAGCGCCATCTGCACTCGCCAACTCACGGCGGCGGAAGTCCTCTTGTAGGATCGCGCATTTCACGTCTTCAACCGAGAGACGGGGCAGATTGCGGTTCAAATTGATGATGAGCGGGGACCATGACTCCTGGGAGTAGGGCCAGCAACTTGGTCTTCTTCTGGAGCTCACTGTAGTTCAAATCAGCTCCCGCAAACCGCGTCAACAAGTCGAAGAATTTCTGCACCCCTTCTTCCACGGGTTCATCTTCTTCAATTCGTAGCGTCGCCATTTGCCGTTCCAACACCACAGCTACCGCCGCTGTTGCAGGAGCGTGTACACCCTTGAGAGCAGCCCATGCCTTTGATCCCTTCTCTAGATCACGCTGGAAAGGCTTGGTGTGACGGATCTGGCTGCTCAAAAAAAAAAAAAAAAAAACGGTCCTACGGACCTACTGCTTTGAAACCATATCAGAATCTATCAGGCACGAATGAATGAACTAGGTCAAAGTTGGCTATAAATATGAAACCCTAAAGGGGCTATACCCCATATTGGCTACCCTACTACAGTCTACACATATATAACACATATAATCTGACACCGCTCGGATATAAGACAGTGTTGAATAGGAGATAGGGGTTGTCTATTATCCGGGTGTCTCTTATAAACAGGCTAGCCTCATTATAAGACACCTAATTGTGCGTACGAGATGAGGCATATGTGTCTTATAATAGTGCAAATAAATTATAGTGAAAATTGAAACATCGTGTACATTTTTACCCTTGCAAAACGCAAATTCTGCCACGTGCTGACTCACGTACTACTGAATTTGCCTCTGCAAGTATTCTCCATGACGTGGCGTCTCGAACAATGGTTGCCGAAGTGGCACTTTCGCAACATCCACACTCATAATGAGAAACTCTTTTCAAGATGTGTGAAAATATTTCTAAGTAGCTTAAAAAAGTTTCCATTTTTAATACTTATAAGACACCCAAAACCTCCCCAAATACAAGATAACCCAAGCTTTTTTTTTAGTGTACAGGATAAGACATATATGACTTATATCCGGGCGATGACGATAATAAAAAATTTGTAAGAAAAGAGGGGTATTATAAAAAATCATACAAAAAGGGGGGTATAGTAGAAACGAGGTCGCCCATAGCACCCACCCCGCACAAACTACCCGGGGATGCTCAATCGGGGGGGGTTGTCTGGGAGAATAAGGTATCAAGGCGAGCATTTTCTGGCTTTGATCTTCTCTTGGTCCGGAATGCACACTCTGGTCGCTTTGACGAGCGTATCGATGCAGTCGTACCCATTATTCCACTTGTAACACCCTTTGATTCCACGGAAGTACTTGACCTGCAGGCCAGTGCAACGATCGCCAGTCCCAACCACGTACGCGCGAGACTTGGGGCACACTCCTTGCATGAAGCTGAACGAGCTGCCTATGCGCGCCTGCACTTGCCGTGTGAATCAGGTATGAGTAGGGGGGAGTGGGGAGAGGGTGGAGAGTGGGAGTAGAGGGGGTGAGAGAGGCAGGTGTGAACTGCAGGTGTGGACTAAAAGTGTGTTAAGCAGTGTGATCTGCAGGTACAAAGTGCATCGTGCACCAGACGTTGAGGCAGAAGCAACCCATGAACCCAGTGGAATTGTTCGGAACTGGAATGACTGGTTGATGAAATTAGGTAGGAACCACAGGGGTAATCAGTAGGAACTGTGAAAATGAGGCGCAAGGGGAGAGTACATGGTGTGTGAGGTAGAATGAGGAAAAGAGGGCCGCGTAATGGGAGGAGAGAATGCAGGCGAGTTGAGGAGAAGCGAGAGGGTAGTGTGGACAAAGAGGAGACCAGACCTCGAAGTGTGAGGTTGCCAACGTCAGTCTTGGGCACGAGGCGGCTGCACTTGATGCCGGGATTGAGGCGGAAGAAGTCAATTGGGGAGAGCGGCGGGGAGGGCACGGAGCGGATCTGGTCGCACGTCTCCCCGGCCTGCACCAGATAGAACTGCGAGCACACCGGGATGAGCAGCGCCGCTGCGCTCTCCGCCCGCCGCTCCACACACACCGCCTGGCTGCCCGGCAGCTCGCCGCTGCTGCTGGAGCAGTCCAGCCCGGGGTTGAGCGCCTGGAAGGCTGCTGCACAGGGCTCGGTGGGAGTTGGGCAGCCAACGGTGAGGGAGAAGTAGGTGGCTAGCGACTCACATGTGTCACCCTGGGGGGATGGGGGCGAGAAAAGGAGAGGTGGGGAGAATGGGAGGGAGTGTGGAAGATGAGAGAGAAGGATGAAAGAGAAGGATGGAAAGAGGCGAGGAGAGGGGAACAAGTGGAAAGGCAGACCAGGGTTGAGAGTCACTTTTGAGAATTCTCAAAAAGGTTGAGAGCCTGGAAAGCTGCTGTGCAGGGATGGGGGTCAAGGTGGTCTCAGTGGTGGGATCTTGGTTGGGGCAGGCAGGCTGTGGAGAGCGAGGGATGTAAGCTTCCAGTGATGCACACGTGCACCCAGATGGGAGAACGATAGGAGAGCAGGGAGGGCAGGAAGGGTAGGAGGTAACTGGGCAAGGGGTAGGGGAGAGCAGAGATGTGAGGATTGGGAGAAGGTAAGGGGAAGTGAGGAGCAGAGATTTGGGATAGAAAGGTGCTGGGAGTGAGGGGATGCAGATAGGGTTTAAGACACAGCAGCAAGAGCGAGGTCAAAGAAGAGAGAGAGGGAAAATGGACGGAGGGGGGTAGCAAAGTAATGGGCTAAAAGGGCATGTTCAATTGCGGTTGAACATAGGTTCTACCGTGCTCATAGGACCACAATATTCTTCCAACATCCCCCCTAATTGACTTGGGTCTTCCATGCACCTTCCATGCTGCACACTAGGATTCGAACACAGAAACCCTTTCTCTGATACCTTGTTGGTAAAGCTTAGTTGCTAACCACGAAGCCTAACAAGCTTGTTCCATAGAGGGTTGTACCCATAACCCCAAGGCTATCCTTGCCTGTGACCCTTACTCAAGACCTTAGGCCGATCCCAATGCTCCTCCAACAAAGTCGGGCAGGAAAGGTAAAAAAGAGGGAGGGTGGATTGAGGCAAGGAAGGAGGAAGGAGGGAGGGAGGGGGTGAGGGCGGGAGGCGGGCAGGCAGGCAGGCAGGCAGGCAGGGAGAGGGTGGAGGGTGCGGACCTGGGACGTGGTGTAGTAGACGGAGCAGGGCGTGAGGTCGGGTGGCTGGACCACGTTCACCACCGTTCCGACCACGAGAGGAGTGCTGCAGCTCAGACCCTGGAGGGGACCGGGGGTGGCAGATAGGGCGGGATGGGATGGAGGAGCAATGTGAGGTTGGTGGGTGAGGCGACGGGGAGATTGTGTCCAGATCCTTTTGGGAACGGAAAGAAGAGCCTCAAGCAGAAGGAAAGCAAGGGTCTACCACGATGCTCACGGGTTTGTGGGCTTGCAGGTGGGCTCACGGGGTTCTGTTATTGGAGCTGAGCAAGAGTGAGGCCGTAGACGGGGTGGATGTCGGCACACGTGACACCCCACGACACCACCGTATATGTGCTGCTGGAATCGCCTGTGCAGTGCGGTGCAGAGTGGTGCAAATTGATGAGCGGTGCAGATGCAGTGATGCGGAAGGATCGGTGTAGAAGGGAATGGGTGCAGTTGTTGGGCATGATGGGAGGATATGCAGGTGAATAGGAAGTGATGGTAATGATGGTAGGTTGAAGAGCCAGCATTGCAATGTGTGATGGTGCATTGTCTATCAGTACGCTTTGTAGCGGGGTTACGTGAAAAAGAAGAGTGGGAACAAGTGGATTTCAGAATGAGAGGCATCTGGAGCGCAAGAGAGGAAGGTTACCTGCTTGAGCACAGGAGAAGGTTACCTGGAGCACAGGAGAAGGTTACCTGAAGCACAGGAGAAGGTTACCTAGACCACAGGAGAAGGTGCCATCAACGGTGGTGCCCTGCCTGAAGCTCGGAGGGCACACACAGGAGAACGACCCCTTGCCATCATTCACACACGTGCCCACCGCACATGGATTGTGCAATGCTGTCCTGCACGCATCCTCTGAGGATCAAGGCAAGAGATGAAAGACATGAAACTCGGTCATGATCTCTTCTCAGTGACAAGGGCACAACTTGCATGTGCTCTGAGACATGACAGCATCACACGAGGAAGTGCAGGAGAGATCGCAAACTGTAAGCACGGGGGAGAGAGCTCACTGTAAGCACAGGGGAGAGCTCACTGTAAGCACAGGTGCGCGAGTTGTCCGGTTGAAGTGCCTCCACGAATCGCGGGTCGTTGCAATCACACCGGTTGCTGGCCCCATCAGATGTGGGCGTGCACGTGAAGTTGCCACAGGGATTGAAGAGCGGCCCAAACACCCCACTGCTGGTGCCGTTGACGTTGCAGGGGTCCCTGGCAGCGCGCACCACCGGGTAGATCCCAGGCAGCGTGTTGATCCCACACACGCCGTCGCCCCCCTGGATGTCCATCCGCATGTGCCCGCCGTCGCCCCACTCCGGGCCCCATGAGTTGCGGATGATCCAGAAGGGCGGCGCCATGTGCGGGAAGGTCGGATCTGAGCCGGTGAGGCGATACCCCACCAGCAGCACCACGTGGTTCAGGTTGTACGAGAAGCAGGAAGGGTCCGCGTACTTGGATAGCTGGGGGTGAGGGGGCGTGAGGGGGGGCGTGGGATGTGGGTGCATGGGTATGGAATGAAATGAGGGGCCACATGGTTGACGTTGCAGGAGAAGCACAAGGGGTGAGAGTGTGTGCACTGTGTGTGCGTGTGTGTGCATGTGTGTGTGCGTGCGCGGGTGTGCACGCACGTGTGTGTGTGTGTGTGTGTGTGCGTGTGTGTGCGTGCGTGTGTGTGCGTGCGTATGTGTGCGTATGTGCGTGTGTGCGTGTGCGAGTGTGCGCGCACGTGTGTGTGTGTGTGCGTGTGTGTGAGTGCGTGCGTGTGCGTGTGTGCATGCGTGTCTGCATGGGTGTGCGTGTGTGCATGCATGTGTGCGTGCGTGTGTGCGTCCGTGCATGCGTGTGTGTGTGTGCGTGTGTGTGTGCGTGTGTGTGTACGTGTGTGTGTGCGTGTGTGCGTGAGCACGTGTGCACGCGTGTGCGTGGAGGAGATGAGGGGTGCTTGGGTATGGAATGAAATGAGGGGCCACATGGTTGACGCTGCAGGAGAAGCACAAGGGGTGAGAGTGTGTGCGCCGTGTGTGCATGTGTGTGCATGTGTGTGTGCGTGCGCGGGTGTGCGCGCACGTGTGTGTGTGCGTGTGTGTGCGTGCGTTTGTGTGCATGCGTATGTGTGCGTATGTGTGCGTATGTGTGCATGTGTGCGTGTGCGAGTGTGCGCGCACGTGTGTGTGTGTGTGCATGTGTGTGAGTGCGTACGTGTGCGTGTGTGCATGCATGTCTGCATGGGTGTGCGTGTGTGCGTGCATGTGTGCGTGCGTGTGTGCGTCCGTGCGTGCGTGTGTATGCGTGTGTGTGTACCTGTGTGTGTGCGTGTGTACGTGAGCGCGTGTGCATGCGTGTGTGTGGAGGAGATGAGGGGTGCTTGGGTATGGAATTAATTGAGGGTCCACATGGTTGACATCTCAGGAGAAGCACAATGGGTGTGAGTGTGTACATGTGTATGTGTGTGTGTGTGTGTGTGTGTGCGTGTGTGTGTGCGTGTGTGTGTGCGTGTGTGTGTGTGTGCGTGTGTGTGTGTGTATGCTTGTGAGTGTGTGTGTACGCATGTGTGTGAGTGTGTGTGTGCATGGGATGTATCTGTGTATGTGTGTGTGTGTGTGTATGTGTGTATGTGTGTGTGTATGTGTGTGTGTGTGTGTGTTTGTGTGTGTGTGTGTGTGTGTGTGTGCGTGTGCAAGCGTGCGTGCATGCGTGTGTGTATGTGTGTGCGCGTGCACTCACCCCATCATAGTTAAGGAAGGAGGGGGCGGTGGCCTGCACATGCACCACCACTGGTTGTCGCTGCACGGCCAGCAGCAGCCCAAACCAGCCGTGGAATGCCGTGCGCTCAAACCCGCCCACTCTGAACGGCCCTCCTGATGGCTTTCTCTGTCGTGGGGTCAGGGGAGGAGGGGTTGGGGGGGAGTGGTAGGGGTTAGGAGGGGTGCATATGGGAGGAGGTGGAAGGGAGGACGGTTAGAAGAGAGGGTATGTGGGAGGTGGAATAAGGGAGAAAGCCATCATGGAAAGGGGATTACTGCAACGGAACGTGCTCTGTCTTGTGCTGACCATGCTGCGCATAGCCGTGTACACCCAGAGCTTGCCTTGAACTCGCAAACCGAAGTAGTGGTGGAAGTAAATGTGCATGGTGCAGGCTTCGAAACGCCCTCAAAAGCGCTTCAAGCGGGCCACAAATGAAGGAAACAGTGGCGGATAGGTCTCAACCAATGTGCTTGGAGAGGCTGTAGTAGACACATGGATTTTTGCCAATGGAGATGTCAACCAATGGGGGATCTGAGACGCTAAAAGTTGAATCATGACACTCAATCAGAACCGAAGTAGGCACCTGATGGGGGATCCACGAGGCACGGAATCAGGCACCTGTCTCAACACCTGATGAAACACCTGGCAATGACTAGACGTGACCACCAGTTGTACCAATGTTCTGTTGGGTGCAAATGCACATTGCACGACATCCTGCCGTCTGTTTGTACGAGTATGCGTGTGCGAATGCATTTGCGTGTGAATGGTGTGTTCGTGTGTTTGTTTGTTTTCGCAATTTTCGCTTGATGCATTTGCAGGTACTCGCGCAATGTGCGCTTCGGCACAACATTGTACGCGCTATGAACAGTGCAAGCAGAAAGGACGAGCTCGCAAAGGAACCCAAGATGGAAGCTTTGCAGTTCGGTTGAGTTGATTGCGCAGATTCAGTTCTATCCAACTCGAAATTGTACTGTTTTGTTTGGTTAACTATAGTGTAGCAGGGAAGGCACTATAGGGGTACAATTTAGGTGAAGGTTGGATGTTGTTTGTCTGTATCTGCATGCTACAAGGCCAGGGGAAACCAGCGGAACCAGCATTTGGCTGGTTGGGCAAAGACAAAACAGGTTCTGTTTTTAGAACCTGAACCTGGTTGTTGTTTTCCCAGGTTGGAAAAACAGAACCAGAGGTTGTTTACCAACCTACCACCTGCTATTTTGTCCAGCCAGGTTGGTTCTGTTGCTTGGAATTATTTGGGATCATCCCTGGTTGTTCCCAGGTTGATTCCCAAGGTCCTTGCTAGCTAGAACTATTTAATCCTTCTCTGTTTGTACCTGAATATAGTCAAATTGATTCATGTGAATTCCTTCCTCGCTGGAATTTCGTTTCTACGCGGTTCGTTGGCGGAATGCTACCCGAGTCAACGCTAGTACGCTAGCACTCTAATGCTAGGCAAACACCGTCTGAGCCATAACTTAGTAATGGCAGAACTTTTCGCGAGGCAACTTGGCTCATTTTAAAGCTCTTGGAGCGAGCTTCGATATAGCGAATTCTCAGCTTAATCCGACCGACGGTCTGCACGGCACGCTGCGCGACGTTCAAGGTACTCTTGCTGTTTTGACTAAGTCCTTCTTGATCCCTCTCTCTACAAACTCGGACCCGAGGATAGGGGCTGGTCTTGTACCAGGCACCCAGGGACCCTTGGAGGTGACCCCGAGGAGAGGTTTTAAGTTTGATTAAGTCCTAATAGCTTGAGTTTATTAGGCCCTTACACCAACAAGCTGGTATCAGAGCTGCGTTATAGTGATCCTCGTTATAGGTAGCTATGGCGGGCAACACCTCGGCGGGAGCTGGTGAATCTTCAGCCCAAGATCGTAGCGGCAGCCAAGATTCTGGTCTTTCAGCGCCAAGGGGAGCGCGAACAAACCAGGGCTCGCTTGTCAAGGAGGTGCTGAAGAATTTCACCGTCGAGAAGTTCAATGGTGAGGGCTATGATGATTGGGCCTGGAAAATGCAATTATATTTCCGTCAGATCGGTTTGCTGAAACTAATGATTGGGGAGGAGCCTAGACCGAGTGACCCCACGCTGCAGGAAGATTGGGACGAGCGCTCCTCGGCTGGCTACTATTTGATGTCGCAGAGTTTGGAGCTGAACCAGCGTCACCACGTCATGCACCTGCTGCCGGAGGTTGAATGCGGTCCGAAGGCGTGGACCGTGTTGAAGGAGCTGCACGCCCCGACCTCCGTTGTCGCAACGTTGATGCTGGAGAGGGAGCTGTCCGCGTTGCGCCTGAGCGAGGGAGAGCCGGTGCAACCAGTCCTGGACAAGATGCGCGACCTCTACGCGAAGTTGGCGACCGCGGGAATCACCTACCCGGAGCAGACCAAGTGCTTGAAGATGCTCTCGCTGCTGCCGGAATCGTGGCTTCAATTTACGAGCGGATTGAGCCTGCCGCAGAACCAGAGCTTGTGGACGCTCGAGTGGGTGCGGACGAAGATTCTGGAGGAGGACTTCCGTCGCCGCCAACTGAGGGGTGGAGACGACGGCAGCAGCGGCTACGGGATGCAAGGGAGCCGACGTGGCAGAGGACGTGGCTTCGGTGGTGCTGGACGCGGTGCAAAGAAAGACGACGACTCCAACGACCAACAAGGAGGTACCGGTTGGGGTCGCGGTGCGAAATCTGGACGTGGGGGCAAGTCGGGTGCTGGTGGCAAAATGAAAGGGAGTTGCTGGTATTGTGAGAAGGAAGGGCACCCCTGGTTTTTGTGCTATAAGAAACCCGATGGATGGACCCCCCAGAATCGTCACCAGGATGGCGGCGCGCGGAGGAACCAGAAAAACGGCGCCAACATGGTCGCTGATTCGTCCGACAACAACCCGAAGGGCAACGGCGGTGCGGAGAAGAAGAAGGAGCGCACCGCGGGCCAATTCTTCCATGTGGGAGACAAGGGGGAGCAAGGAGACGCCTCTGCCAAAGTTGGAGCAGAGCTGCACCCCCTAGACTATTGGGTGTTGGACACAGGCGCTGCTTGGACGATGACGCCGCGCAAGGACCTGCTGGACGAAGTACGAGCTGCACCGATCAATGAAGTGTGCTCCGCCTCTGGACACATGTTGAAGGTGGCTGGTGCGGGACGAGCTGCGTTTAAGGGAGCGGATGGCAAGCCGGTGGTGCTGCACGACGTTCTCTTCGTCCCCGACCTGAAGGCCAACCTTATCTCCCTCCGTAAGCTTGGCAAGGCTGGGGTGAACACCAACACGGATGGGGCACGCACTTATAAGGGGAAGCTGGGCAATCGGGTGCTTTGGGATCTGCACGAGAGCAAGGACGTGTACAGATCTATGTGGCAGCTGCCGGCCCTGGCGTGGCATGGTGGGGGGCAGGCTGGAGAGGGGTCTGCATCCCAGGGGGAGTGCAATGCCGTTGGAGGGGTTGGTGTGAAAGTGTCGGCCAGATCTGGGGAGACAGATTGGGCAACGGCACACCGGCGCTTAGGGCATGTGGCAATGCCTTTGCTGAAGCAGCTGGAGAAGGATGGAGCCGTTAAGGGTCTGAAGCTGAACGGACAGCCACCCGATGACAACTGTGAAATCTGTTTGCTTTCAAAGTTCACC